TGATTTTAACAGCATTTTTTTTTATAATGAAAATTTTAAGCGCTTTTAATTAAACAATGGATTAAAAATCACCCGTAAGTGGGCTTTCACACCAAAGTAGCATGCGACGTGCGACTTGCTGCCAGGAAGCACATGGCAACTTGCGTCTTCATAATTTACTTTCATACCAAAGTCGTTTACTGCTACTTCATTTGTCATTAACTCTCTGTTTAAGTTCCGTTGATAAATGATAAAATAGTTGCCAAAATGTCGGAAGAAGACAATATTGCATTGATTGCTGCTGTAATTGCAAGGAGGAAGAGGAAGAAAAAAAGAAAAGTGTGGATTCATCTGTATTTAAAAGATAATGCTGATATACATAGCCCATTTATTGTATCGCAGCAGCTACAAGTTCATCCTCAAAAATTTCAAAACTTCTACAGGATGGAAAAGGAAAGGCCATTTTTAAAATGATTTAAAATAACGAACTTACCTGTAGAAACGTATTTCCCGGCAACTTGGTTCCACGCTTTATCTTGTTCACTTCTGTTGCTATACGCCTTTAAAGTGTGATCACACAGACATGGGTAGATCTCGATAGTCTGAAGAAAGTCTATATTAAATTGTTCATCGTCTGGTAAACATTTTTTGCTAAGTATCACGAAAAAAACAAACAGAAATTTGGTCGCGAAGTCAAAACAATGTCTGCGCGGCTTGGAAGCAAGTCGCAAAGTATCAAAATTATAGGACTCGTTTTATATTCGAGTCGCACGCTGCATGTTGCGAAGTCGCATTTTTGCGACGATTTTTCGGTGTGAAACTATCAATATATTTGTATAGGTTTTAAGACAAGTAGCATGCTTCCTGCTTCCTGACAGCAAGTCGCATGTCGCATGCTACTTTGGTGTGAAAGCCCACTAAGAGATAAATTTATGAAATTTTCCGCAACTATGGTCAAATGTCTATACTTTGAGAATATATTAACCACTTAAAATTATTTGCTTATTTTCGTATTGTTAACTAACTTTTAAGTTAACAAATGAAAATTTAACTGATTCCTTGGTAAAAAATATCATGTTTTTTTTACCGGTCACATGTTTTACACATTTAAGTTTAAGATTCCGGAAGAAATTTTCACTGCTCGTCATTAGTTTAAACAAAATGAATTTATCTTCGACAGCGCGCCGGGCGCCGAGCACTGTGAAAGCACCGAGCTGGCAACACTTCAGCTTTTATTTTTTTAATTTATTTTTAATAATTATTTCATGCTTTGCGTATAAACTTATGACGCGAATAGACAGGAATGATTTCTAAAATGATTTTGTTATTTACTAGGATACGCGAAAAACAAATGAAAATCGTAACGGTTTTTCTTTTGTTAACTAAAGATGGAGTGTTGACTAGTAAATTTAAAAATAATAATTTACTAAATTTCCTAGAAAAAATAAATATAGACCATAACAGTTTTAAAAATTTAAAGTTGATTAGTTTTTTCTAAATTTGCGATGCTTGGTAAAAATAATAAAAAAAATTAATAGTATTCTTTATAACATTGTTAAAAAAATAAAATTTTATTAATAATAATTATAATAAAATAACATAAATAATAAAATTTGTTTTATAATAATATTTTCTATTATTATTTTAAATTATCACTGATAAAACCTTCAATGCAGTTCGAGACGCTCGGCAGCGGGGTGCTTCCACAGTGCTCGGCGCCCTGCGCGTTGTCATAAATAAATTGATTTTGTTTAAACCAATGACGAGCAGTGAAATTTTCTTCCGAAATCTTAAACTTAAATGTGTAAAGCATGTGACCGATAAAAAAAACATGATTTTTTTTACCAAGAAATCAGTTAAATTTTCATTTGTTAACTTAAAAGTTAGTTAACAATACGAAAATAAACAAATAATTTTAAGTCGTTAATATATTCTTATTTTCTTATTTCTTATATTCGCGTTTGACCATAAATTTATCTCTTACGGTTGATTTTTAATCCATTTTTTAATTAAAAGCGCTTAAAATTTTCATTATAAAAAAAATGTTAAAATCAAAATTTTAAAAAATCGTTTGGGGGATCAATTTTCCATCATAAGTATTTATAAAAAATATATTTAGATTAAATTTTTATGATCAAGTGGTAAATGGGGGGTCCAATTGATCTGGTCTTACTCGAATGTTACATCGAATGACACGTATTATCATAGACAACTTTCATTCTATATGTTCAACATACATGTCCTTTCGACCTCTACAGCTGTTTTCTATACTAATACTGAAGTTTCGTGAAAAAGGGAGCTGATGATGTTTTTTCACTGCTATTGGATTACATTTTTAACTATCTGGATTACAATATTACAATATTTTGTGATTTATGCTGTGGACAAAATTATTATATTGTTCATTTTGTTAAAAGACTTGTGTGTTAGTATTAGTATAGTGAAACAGAAGACGTTGAATAATGGAATGCAGTTTTAAGGGATTCCAGAACAAAACCAAGCCCTTTTGAAGTTATTTCTTGTGAAGATAAGTCCATTTTTAAGAGTTGGACCAAATTTCTAGCGGATACCTATATGCCCAAGCGTCCTTCAAGACCGGTCAAACCGAAAATCACCCTCTTATGGGAAAGTTATAATGGTCGAGAGCTTGTCACAAAACAAAAAAGAAAAAGACTTTCGCTACCTGAAAAGTGTTTTTTGCTTCCAACTTTAGCTTATAATGGGCCAATTTCTGTATCTAAAGCTAAATTTCAAGACCTACAGCATCTAAAAAGAATCTGTTCTTAAAAAGCGCAGGATTTTTTTACCACCTTGATAAGATGACAATAATAGATTATGGACCTTCATCTTTATTGCCAAGTTCTTTTTGTGTTGGAATCAAAGTTTCTTTTTTATACTTTTGCATTGACAATTTATATATTTTTTATAATATTCTGTCAAAACGTATTTTTGCTTACCATGTTCTAGAGAAGTCTTCCTAAATAAAAAACACATTTACTCGGAATTAAGTTTTTTTGAACCCTCATCTTTTTTCCCCTGTACTCTTCAAATGTTGCGTGATAGAAACAAAAAAAAACATTATTTTCCTATTAGCTCATTCCCTATAACCTGAAAAAATGTGACAAATAACAAATCACAAAATCTTTGTTGGCCAACGAGTCCGTTACAATTTGAAACTTAAAAATTTACCTCGTACGGCAGAAAAATCCGTATTTTGTTCATCCATGTCACTTCGACTTCGCCGAACAATCCCCTTTCGAGACAAAACATGGCGGGACGCGGCAGACGCGATTTGTTTTCAAATTTTGAATGTAGAGGCAACGAAACGCTCAACGGGAGCGGCGACGGCCAAAACAAAACGCGTTTACCGAACAAACGACCGTATTTCGACAAACCGTTTTGTCGCTCTGCCTCCCGAACACTTTCTATGCCGTGTACGGCCTAGTAATCGTGCGCTGTGGTAACAACAATCGTAGCACCGACAAACGAAACCGGAACATTTGTTGCAAATTGTTATGGCCGCCTTTACGTAACACGAGATGGTTTACGTCCATTATCAGAAACGATAATAATCGGACCGAGAGAGTCTCGAATTTTGTCCCGTTCACCCCGAAATTGTATATTCTCGGGACACCCTGTATAATATATATTCGAACCATATAGATACTAGACTTATAGAGGGCCCTGCCTGTGCTAATAGCGCAGGAACAATATGCGCATGCGCGAGATTTGAAATTTCGTTTTTAACCAATGGCAGCTCTAATTGCAAATTCTGACGTTCGACCCATACCAACATGGCCGCTGGCAGGTCGTCAATGTTTGAATGCTGCATTTTTACGGCATATTTTCTCAAAATATGTCAAAATCCTATTAAATTTTCAAACAAAAAATCAATTAAGGTGTGAAAAGCGTTGTTAAAAAAATTAGCGACAAGTGCATGGTTAATATTATGCTATTACGATATTATATAGCATACGGATCGGCGTCTTTAATATAATTGGATGAAACCTGGTTCGCTACCCCGGAAAAGGGTTGGGTTGACTCAACTGATGAGTGTGAAAAAACGCGCCATCAAAAAGAGGTAAAAGAATAACTATTTTGCATGCCGGCTCTAAAGATATTTGGATTCCAAATGGACTTTCTCTGTCTGCGAAAAACATTAAAAATTCTTCTCTGGATTACCATGAAGACACCACCGTTGATTTATTTGAAGATTATACCAAAAAGCCAATTAATTGAGGTTCTACAAAGCTTGAAATTACAAAAGGAATACGTCTGTGATAATTGTGCAAAAAATCTAGGGCATACAGTTTTAAGGCCTTGAGACCTTACCACTGTATATTTAATCCCATTGAACATAGATAGATAGAACATATAGATAGTGATACTGATATATTATGTGAATAATTTTAAGTAATTTAAGTAGGTATTAAAAATAATTTGTAGTTTTATTTTAGATTTAAACATAAATAAACAAAAATTGTTTAGTATCTTTCCTAACAAAACCCCAAATAATTAAATTCTAAGCAAAGTACGGACCTGTTCGGCCATATTTTATTCTTACAGCTTGCCAGGGTCTTTCCTTAATTCGTATCAGTTAGTCACTTTCTTATATCTATGAACAGACTTTAAATATTGGATTAAATTGTGATTTTTGTTACAACTCTCACCGATCTCCCCTAGTTGCCATTCAGTACGAAAAAGTTGCGTTCAGTGTATAGAAGAAGGAGACGCCAAATTTGAACATTTACCTTTAAATATTTAAATATTGCAACATAGGTAATTAATGTAAAAGTTTAAATTTTAATATTGAATTAAAAACCCAAAAATAAAAAAAATATATGAAAATATTAAATGGTTCTTAGGTTTCTTATTTCTCACTTAAATTATTTTAAATTGGCTTTCTCTTTTTGATTGTTCCGTTGTTTAGTAAATTTTCTTATAGGTTTCTGTGTGACATTTGAACATATTATGCACGGCCTACTACTACATAAACAAAAAATGCCCTCTAGAAAACTTACTTTGTTAGCAGTCTTTTCGAGGATAAGGTAGGAGTCGGTGGCTGCGGCTGGAGATCCGCAGAGTGGACTCCTTGGAAGTCCTTCGTCATCTTCGCTCGTATCTCCCCTCCCCCTTCGTAACCGAAGCCTAGAGCTAAGCTCCGTCTGGAACGAACAAAGAAAAATCGTTACGCAATAAATTTTCATCGAAATAACTTCTTTTATAACTTTCTTTTTGTTGCTCTTGCAATATTTTTTTATTATTTCTCATTACTTTGCTTTTATTAATATACGAACAACGTTCAAAAACCTTGTTTATTTAAAAAACGATTAAAAATATTTTTGTAATCCAAAACATTTTATAGTCTAGACGAATTTTTTTTGAATAAATGTTTTCTTGACATGTCCCTTGTACTTATCATGTATTTTAGCTATTCTTATGCAATTTTGTAGTTTTTGGGAAAATATATATTATTATTTCCATTATCGTCTGAATGTAACATTGCTATTGCTAAATTATTAATTGTATTATAAATTTTTCTTCTAGTCGCAAATATTTTGTCACTGTAAGATTTTTACTTTTTGCACTTTGCTGTGCAAGTATCAATGTTTGTAGCTATGAATAAAAACTTTTATTACGAATTTTCGTTGTTTCGTTCAAATAGATCTCTGGTACTTTTTACAAAACTTCTGGATTCCTCCTGCATCGGTTTTTGTTGAGTCGAACGTTTCGCCAATCGTCGTATTGGCTTCTTCAGGACTTGACTGAAGTGACTCTGTACCTGGTTATATATTGTTTGAGGGAGGCGGAGCTAAATGAGGGGCATAAACACCGTTTCGAATGACGGATTCCCATATTGGTGACAGATAAAGACCTGAGCCTCGGTTAAGATTGTTAGGTTGCCTATAGATGTCTATAGACTCTCGCATTTCTCATTGGTAGAAGATTCGATTACATGCAAGAAGTTTAGTTTTATCGAATAAAATTTTATGTCCGGTGATAAGTTTATTTGTCTTAGTTTTAAGGCTCTTTCATGTTCTTTGAGCCTTGTTGATATTTTTCGTCCGGTCTCTCCAATGTTTTCTTTGTCGCATATGCATAGAATGCTGTAAATTCCTGACATCTCAAATGGAATTTTGTTTTTGATGGACCGAAGATGTTGAGAAAATTTTGGATAAGTGGTAAATCTGGTTTTGATGTTATATTTCTTTAGAACTTTTGATATGTGGTCAGTAATGTTGTGAATGTAAGGAAGGATAACAATGGGAAGTGTGGGAAGGTTGTGGTGAAGTGTATTTTGTGAGAGAACGCTTAATATTTTTAATGTGGAAATTATTCGAGAGAATAGCAGAGATAAGGTGTTTTAGTTTTGGGTTCAGTGACTCGGGCTGAGATAGTTTTACGGCTCTGTAAAGAAGAGAGTTGATAACCGATGATTTTTGGGCCGGATGGTGATGTGACCATACATTAAGGTATCGGGCTGTATGCGTAGGTTTTCTGTAAACGCAATGACCCAATGTTAAGTATGATTTTCTATCGTTAAGAATATCTGAGAATGGAAGGTTATTATTAGTGTCTAATTCAATGGTAAAACGTATGTTAGGGTGTATAGAGCTTAAATGTCTGAGAAAATCTACTAGAGATTCTTGACCATACGGCCAAATAAGGTGTCGAGAGCTTTCTTATCAAGGGCCTCCATAAACATAAATGATGATAATGGAGAACCCATAGCTGTTCCCGACGTTTGTCCACAAGTTTGAAAAATATGTTCTAGACAAGCATTTTCCAAATAAGGTGAGGTTTGGTTCCAGATTCTCGGATTTTAATATATCTGAGACCATGTTGAGGAAGTACATAAGGATTTTACGTCGAAACTAACCAGAATATCTTGTGAATCTAATGTAATGCTTTTAATCGTTCAATGAAGTGAAAAGAATGAAGTACGAAACTATCAATTTTCCCTGTAAAGGATTTTAATAAAGAAGCTAGATATTTTGCTATATGTTGGAGAACTAATGGTGCTGACAATAGGTCGAAGGGGTAATCCTGGTTTGTGAACCTTTAGTTAGTCCGTAGAGACGAGGAATTTTAGAGTCATGAGGGGTGACGGAATTTTTTATGGAGTCTGATAGAGAAGACGCCTTATTAACAGATCTGTGGTATAGGTAAAAAATTTCTGAAATCTAGTCTAGATGAATTTTTTTGAGTAAATGTATTTTTTATATGTCCGTTGTACCTATCATGTATTTTGTAGGTGTCTTTGGGAAGATATATATTATCAATATTATTATTATTTTCTGAATTATCAATTGTATTATTTTTTTTATAATCGCAAATAATATTAGGTTACTGTAAGATTTTTATGCTTTGCAGTTTGCTAGGTAAGTATTAATGTTTGTAGCTATAAATAAAAGCTTTTATTACGAATTTTCATTGTTACATTCAAATTGGTAGGTGGTATAGGTAAAAAATTATAGGTTTTCTGAGGAACGGGTTTAATTATAAAGAAATCGTTCTGGCTTGCTTTATTTAAAATAAAATTAATGTTCATTATGTTTCATATAATAAACATGCATTTTTGCATTTTATTTTTCGTTTAGGTGCTTATATTGTGAAAATTTTATGCGTTCAAATACGCTTATGTTGTAGTTTTTCGCTTTTTTTGAAAGTACAATTTCACGAATTCCATTTTCAGCAACAGATTAGCAAACACTAGCCATTTTTAAGAAAGCAACTATAATTCTAATTTTAAACACCTGCCACTCTCGAGATCCTTGAAAATAATCCTAGGTTCTTTAAATTAATCATTATTTCACAATTAGTTTTTACTATTTTAAGTGCAAAAGGCTCTTAAATACACAAACAAACAAATTGAACGGGTGTTTTCCGATGTTTGAGATTTAGAATTTACTTTTTACGATAGTTAACGTTTAATCCCGTGTGCCGAACGTGTTCGAATACGTCGAGGCGTTTTATTGACTTTAATCTAAATAATGGCAGATGTGTAGTGCAGACGCGACGACCTTCCGAACGCCACAAATCCAAAGCGAAGAATGTTAAGACTCCTGTCGATTGACGATCCGTAACACAAGGAGACCTATAAATAGACGGTTGCGCGAAAACGATGAAAATCCAGGACTCTTCGCGTATTACATCTCGAAGAATTTCAAGTATTACACTCAACCGCATAAAATGGTCGCAATTACACGAACGAAATGAAATAAAAGTTTCGCATCGCAAAATATCAAAATCGATATCGTTAAAACAACATTTGTAATATTTAAGCATAAAAAATAAGGGGATCCAAAACTTAAACATTCAAATTAATAACCGTAAAAAAAAATTAAAGTGATTTAACATAACAAATATAATCTATCTATATCTATCACTGTGAGGTGCATGAGGTAATAGTATATTATGGAACAAGTGCGGTAAACGCCATTTGACTCACGAGTTTGTTTGACACGAGCGGAGCGAGTGTTTAATAAACGAGTGACTTGAAAAGTTTACCGAACATGTTGCATACTACACTTTTTCTACGACCGTTAGTTTTTAGGTACATTTTCGCAAAACAACACGCAGTCGTTCACTGACATGTCCGTCAGAATTGACAAACGTCAAAATTCAAGGCGTGGGAAATATCTCCGAAAACATCCGACTGCTTCCAAACCGAGATGATAGCAAATGAACGAATGTTACGAGACGTGACGTATACGTAATCGAGTGACAGAATGTTTAAGTTAGAAACGAACGACTTTTATAAAAATATCAAATTTGAAACTTATTTAAAATGATTTATCTTACTAAGATGACATTTTATTACTTTTTTTAAACAGGAGTTCAGTTAATTGTGGGTAGTAAATTCATAGGGTAATGCAGAACAGGAACATAAATTGATGTAATATTTTTTAGAGTAACTCACAAAAAAGGCATTTTGCATTTTTAGTGCAAAAACGTCGTATTTCATAACATTATTCAATTTATAGGATTGAAGGTTAATAAATATATGTATATTGCAAAAAGATATCTCAAAAGCACAGAAACTAAATATCAAGCATCAGGAAAAGTTGAAGAGAACGGTGTATTCATCTTAAGGAAGGAACAACATAATCCTGAACACTTGAAGGACCAAATACATGACAGGAGCTGCAAGTATGTGTAAGAAAGGAGACCAGGTAAAGAAGTTAATAATAATAAAAATATTTGTAGAAATGTGTAGTACATTACACTGTACGACTGAAACTATAGAAGTATTAATAAATTTCCATTATGTTAACGTAATTTTAGAAATGCCGAAGATGCCTTACTTCCTTCAACTCAGTATGTTCCTCTATGCAGAGGTGGAGGCAATCGAATGGACCTAGGACTTGACTAGGGTTCTAGAAGCATATGTATATGACCTTTCTTAGTAATTTTTGAAGTTTTAAATAAATATATTCGACGTTTATGAAAAAAATTACTACTTTGAATGCGAGTTGCAGCACCCTTCGATAAAATTAACCTATATTTTATTGGAAACAATAATTGATCGTATAATGATGTATGAATTCATGTGTCCTGTGCGAATTTAGCACCCGATGTACGTCCTGTATCTTTAAAATAAGCTTCCTTTTCTTAATTCGTATTCGGATTATACCTATCTAGTATCGACTGTCAAATTACAAAGTTTACCATTTGACCGTCTGCTACATCGAAATCCCTCGCGAGACAAGACTCACCGAGACTTTCCGAAACGGGACAGAACGCCGTTCGGGATTTTTGGCCTTTGAACATTGGACCATTTGTGGTATTCCCCCCAAACCCGTACCGTAAAATCCCGGAAATGTCCGAAGTGGCTCGGATCCGTGGGAAACGACAAGTGGGTCGAGCAGCAATGGCACCATCTCTCTCACCTGTGATTGCCGACCACTTCATGATTTACTTCGAAAAGAAAGCAATAGAGAAGGCAAATCTGAAGCCAAAACTATGGACAAGATACGTTGATGACATATTTGTTGTATGGAATTTTGGCAAGCAGGAGCTGTTGAAATTCCTAGAACATCTGAATTCCATTCACCCAAGGATTCAATTTACAATAGAACTTGAAGAGGATAACAGTTTTCCCTTTCTAGATGTGCACATCACAAGGACCGAAGATGGATACTTGGAACACACTGTCTATACA